ATTCGCCATTTCTCCAGAATGTCCTGATCATTTGAAAAATCCAAGGCTGTTCGTGTACCTCTGTGTCACTATCAGAGGGGCATAGTTACTTGTAGGCATTACGGTTTTTCTTTAGAACAAAGTAGACGCGTTTCACAGCTCTTTAATGCCTATCGTTATTCCCCGCATGATTTAATGAAAGAGCACCATAATATGCTTCATCGCAGTTGCCTACTGGATTCTGCCTACTTCTTCAAGAGCTGGCCAACAATGTCTAGTGAGTATTTAAGTTTTGGTCACAAATAATTCCAGATGATCCTAATAGACATTCGTTCATGGCTACTTTATTTTACCTCTTGGACTATGGCATACAGTCATAAAATCGCTTACTGCAATTACTAACCCGTCTATCGTCTATTTAGCTTAGAGCTAGACAGATGTTACTTCCGACAGTATCTAACTTCCGACTTTATTAAACTTCATTAACTTATGGTTTATAAATGGATAGATTGGGTTAAGCATCTGTATATTGGAGATATCTCGAGTATTCTCCAGTGTCATGACAGATATTGCTCTTTGTCTAGGGTGATGGCTAATTCTGTAACTCGAGTCCTGAGTACTCGGACAACTCTTCGTCCAAACAAACCAGAATGTCCTTGAAACTAGATAAGTCCGATGCATTTCATTTATCTCAACTTCTGACTGCTATCGCATGGTCGCTCTGGGTCCGGAAAACATTTAATGTTAGAGCATCTGGAAAACGAATAATTAACCCATTTATAAGGTGTTGTGTTGGGAAGATTAAAGTTATTGGGTGTTCCTTCACAGATTAATAGATCTTTAGCCATTGATTTTTTAATTCCTAAGACCACTAATAATACTTGTAGTAGAAGTTCGTGATTAAACTACTCATATGTTGATACAATTACAGTTTTGTTTGAGTTTGTACAGTGTCCCAGTTGAATCAGCATATTGCGTCGCTGACGTTGATATTCTCTAAAAGCTAGAAATAAAAAAAGGATTAGTCCACAAAATAACTTTGAGTAAGGTCTTTCCAAACAGAATACCGGTTTCAAGCTCGGGTAAAGGAGAAAGGTTGGATCTGCGCTTGTTAGCCTAATCCCATAAAAATAACTTTGCTAAAAACACTAACCAGAAAACAATTACTTAGACAACTAGAGCTCTACTTTGTGCTTTGAAGGATTTTCACATAGAAGAGCAGTGACATGTCATAGTGGAAGCCAAGCTACTTTGGAAGTCTCAATGTAGATTTTCCATATATAAAAAAAACCCAACAAATATAGGTATATGAAATGTCTGTATATTATAGGAGATTGAGAAAACCACACAAATAACCGCAGAAATGAGAAGATACAACCTGACCGTGATTGGAATAAGTTAAACTCATTGAACACAATTCGAGTGAAGAAAAGTAAATTTATGAAATGTAAAACCATATTCTGTTCAAGAAAAACAAAATTCTTCAACAAACAAGAGCTTGCACTAGTGCTATGGGAAGGAACATAAAATATGCCATTAGGATAAGTCTCATGAATCTAGTGTTATCAAAGCATACTTTACATCAAATAAGAAAGAGGCTACAATGAATATCATCTAGTGCTACATACTCACCAACGATAGCAGTAGAGATGATAAGGATCGGTTTTATAAGAGACTGCAATTCATCATCGAGAAATGTTCAGGAAATGAAATGACCATCCTGATAGGATGACCAAATGCTAATATCGGAATGAACAACATCGGTAATGAACGCACTATGTGTTGATGTAGACTTGGAGAAAGGAACGAAAACGGTGAGAGATTTGAAAATCTACATAGGTTCAGCAACATGGTTAGAGGTAAATTCATTTTCTCCTGTAAATTCATATACAAAGCTAAATAGGTCCCATTGAATCATATTACACAAAACTCTATTAACTACACTTACATTGATGAGGCGTTCAGAATGTTCCTGAAGAAGTAGGAATAAGGAAAGGAACTGGTGTAACTTCAGATCACCATGTGGTGGTGGCTGAACTAAAACGGAAGCTGAAGAAGCAGTGGACAAGCAGAAAGACTGCATTATAAACATTTAACACAATGTTTCATCGACAGTCTAACAAACTGAACAAACTCGATATTGTTCTCAACAACAGTTTCCATGCCTAACGAAAATCTTCTCACAGAAGAAGAGTAAATCACTATGGATAACAAGTTGGAAGAAAATAAATCAGAAGTGACCCCAACGAATTAGGAGGTGCCGGGTCACATGGAGCCCGACCAGAATGAAGGATGGATCTCTGTAGATCACCCGTTTGTGAGTAAATAAATAGAGAATAGGAAGACAGTTTTGAGTAACAATGGAATAAGAGCAGAGTAGAGAAATCCCAAGCACAGATTGAACGCCCAGAAGTAAATGAGTGAGTGAAGAAAAGTATTGGAGTTAACAAACGGAAACATGTAAAATATCTGACAACTGTATTTGTGCAATTCGGAACTGGAAGAAGTGTGCACGAACCGTGTGTTTTAAACAACGATCTCTCAGGAAAGTCCAGAAGATCAGGCAACTTGTTATGATAACTTGTGAGAAGAGACAATCAGTAATGTGGGATATGCAGGAGTGCAACAGGTGTGTAGAACACTTTGACGAATTGTTGAATAGACCACCATTGGTGAAAATGATGGACATCGAGACAGAAAACACATATGTTTCTACAAATATCACACTGCCAACAAGTGACGAAAACAGAATAACCAAAAGTGAAACGAATATTAGGAAAGCATAAGTAAAACCAGATAACATGCCAGCTGAAGCATTGAAGTTGGCACAGACGTATATACGGAAATGGTCCACACACTATTTAGAAAGATTTGGCGGCAATAACAGAGACTAGAAAAAAGATACTTTAGGTGGGGTTTTGTTCTCCGAGCTAGATGATTTTGTCACGGATCATACTTTGGTCTTCTGACCAACATCTCACTTCTATATGAAGTTTGTTCTAGTGATTTTTAGAAAGACAATGAAAGCTCTACTACCAAACCACCCAGTTTAGAGAACAAGTTTTCACCTAAATTAACCATCTGAGCTATAAATCTTCTCCATTAGAAGGATACTTTATCAGGATACCGAAGGAGAATTCAGCAAGTGTGGGAAATAGAGAGACACCACATTACTGTCAAGATGTTAAAGTTTTCAATAGTGTTGTTGAATCGTATGATAGATTCTGTAGACGTTTAACTCTAGAACAATAAGCTAAATTTAGTGAGGATTGATCGACTAACCAAATCACGACACTGAAGATCATTGTTGAATGATCGTCAATCGTAGTACACTCATCACTATAATGTGAACATTGTTCACTATTAGAAAGTGTTTGTTAGGGTGGATGGTAGGAGTTTGTGGACTGTTGTTCGACATTGTGGGGTGTCTGAGAGTGTCGTCACCATGATACGGAATTCTCACAATGGATTACAATGAGAACTCATGCAGCTCACAAATCCATTCGAAGTGAAGATCGGTGTGAGACAAGGCTGTCTACTGCCAACTTTTCTCTTTGTTCTGATCGTCAGATGGATTATGAAGACCTGGACATGTGTGTAGAAGCACACAAAACATTGGACAGATTGGATGTAACATGATGTTTGCCACTTTGCAAATGACTCGGCATTCATATCACGTACACAGGAACAAATGTATCTGAAGAGACCGAGTGTAGCAGTGACTTCCATATCAGTATGCGTGGACATTCGTAAGAGAAGAGGTGAGATGCTCAAATAAAGTACAGTAAGTACCAAGCGAATTGTGTTTGCTGGTCATGCTGTGGAAGAGATGTGATCATTTACGTGACTTGTCAGTATCACTAATAAACAAGGTGGATATGATATAGTTGTGAGTAGGTGAACTGTTAAGGCAAATGTACCGTTGGTACAAGTGAAGAATATTTGGACATCGAAACAACTGCCACATAACACAAATGTCTGAATTTTCAATACACATGTCAAGATTGTTCTATTGTGCTGAGTTGAAACTTGGAGAACTACTACAACCATCATCAAAATGGTACATGTATTTATAAACATTTGTCTACTGAAGATACTCCAGATGCATTTGTTAGATGCCATCACGAATAATCGACTTTCAACTGTACAAATATTTTACAAATAGAAAGTAAATAATTTAAAATACTTTAAGTGTACAATCATTATGACAAAGAAGCATATACAAAGTGAAATCTTATTACATTTAGCATTTAGAATAAACTACTTATAAGTCTTGAAATGGAGATTGGGACTGTAGTTGACTTTTTTGAAATTTCGATAGAACAAGGAGAAGACGTAGCTAATGTGAAAAATGTGATGTATTTGCGCTATACATTTCGTGTTCTAGTTCTGGCTAGTACTAGTATTTAGTGGTCATTATTGATGTAAATTTATTATTCACCTAGCTATGTACGTATGGAGAGAAATAACAGTGAAGTGGATTTATAAAAGATTACCACTCTTTTAGACCCCCTAACTGAATTGGACTATGTTGTAATTTGGTCTGAGCTTGACGTAGGTTATAAGAGTTGATAAATTCGTCTTTCTTGATGTGTAAATACAAGCATATCTTTTTTTAATGAAATCGTAACTGGCTAAAAACCTGATTCATTTTCCATTCAACTGTAAATAGTATCAAAGATAACTGACTGTAACGTTGGTCTACCAGGAGGTTAGAATAAATATTGAAATGTTTGAATGGTAGATTTTTTCTCCCAGTTAACTTGTCATAAAAAAACCTCACTTAGTCAAGCATTTTAGTGTCATGAACAACAATGCATTTAATCTGATGTTGTTAGCAGTTTAGTCTTTTGATATTTACTTAAAAAATCTTTGAAAAAGAGATAGAAACTTAGTTTTATTTCAGTAAATTATAACTTCTTTCTGATTTGAAATATTCACAACAAAATAACTGTGAACTTCTTGTACAATACGTTAGTTGGTTAGTGCAAGTAAGCATATCAATATAGGACAACGTTTATTTATTCATTTATAAAATCATACTCTCTTTTGTTTTTCATTGTTATTTCTAGTGTTTCTTTATCTTCATTCCAAGCTGCTTTACTTGAATCTGGTTCAACAGGATTTGGTAGATATAATACAAGCTTACTAAAGAAAGATAAAATAATGTTTTATTATAAAAAACGTTTTATTGTCTTGGATTGTGAGGCAAGGAAAAATAACTTTCAAAAGATCATGCCCTGGTATGACCGAGAGTGAGGGGAGTCAACACTCCTTCCCAAAATGCTCTCACATGGCCACGTGCATTCAACCACTGCCAGGGAAGTCCTGCTCACTGCCTTCTCACGGTGGGGGTGTTGTTTACGAAATTGAGAGGACAAAAAGCGAATGTCCGGCGCTTTAACCGGCTAGGTGAATATGGAGGATCTACCTGGGGGAGTTGGAAAACACTGATTCCAAACCATTGGTTCATATGGGATTCAGGATCCTGAGAGAACAAATGGCGTATGAGCCAATCTTTGGTCACCGACAACCATGGGACTGCATCTCCTAAAGTTGCTCCACTGCCTTGTGGATTAGACTTTTAGGTTAAATATTCGGGGTGTGGCTCCCTATGAAAACCACCTGTTTCATTTTGGACACCCGGGCACTATCCTAGCCCTTACACAAATCGTATGACTTGTGGCGCATATATATTTGGTGCCTTCTTGTGCCTATGTTTATGTGTTTAAAAAATAATAACAATACTTTATGAAGTTAAAATAATATTTGGTCTAAAATATTGATGTTAATTGCTTGTTCTTGTGAAGATAGTTAACAATAACTTATTTTGTAAGTAATTTTTGTTATTGTTCATAGTTTCACATAATTTGCACAATTACAATTATTGACTATGAAGTGGTTGTTTAAAATTTGATTTTAAACTTCTGTTAACATTTTCTTCTCTGTTCGCATGATACACAGACGTCTACTCATAGATACACTGTTGTGCACACACTTCTCTTTCTCACCTATAACAGATGTTTACAGATCACACAGATATTTCCATTACGTAATTATCCCGGAAACATATTATCTTGGATTATATCTATCTTATTTGAAATTATTGACTACTTTTTATAATTGTGGACTCCGAGATCAAAACTCGAACACGCTCCCTACCCATAATTTAAGTAACCTCCCACACTTTTTCTTTGTGAGCATTTATATTTGTGTATATTATCAATTGTCTTTATAATTTTCTCAATAACTATTATTATTTTGGTATTGATATATTTGGTCCGCCAAGATTATCTGGTGAGTCCGACATGAGGATGTCAGCAGAACTATATTAATTTCTGCTTAAGTGTCTACTAAAAATTCCGTACCAGAAATATTAAACCTGACATATGGGAGACGGCTGGCCGGCTGGCCAAAAGCAGTCATCGCCATTACAGTCTGGCTCGCACGTTTCCCCGTTTGTCATAGCTATACGACGTTAATTTGAACAGTCTTGTGCATCGCTGTGCCTTGGTGCCGTACTTGTGGTGATACCAATAGACTCCTGGGATTGGTTTAGGTGACCTAGAGTATTGTCTGGGAAATGGCATTTTCCTAGAAGATGATCTAGCACGTCTTATATGTATAGTGTAAAAAGTTGCTTGTAGTCCTGCAAGTTTATTAGACAAGTCAAAGAAATGCTGTTGAAGTATTGCCATTTCATTGGTCTTTGCCTCTTCAGTAGCTTGTAATGTGTTCACACTAAGGTAATCTGTGGCATTAACCGTGGTTATTGTGAGTTGAGGTATACGAGGTAAGTCAGAGGAAACTTTTATAGAACTACAACTCAATGTTCATATTATCATTAGGTGCATACATTATACGAACATGCCGAAAAAAATGTTTATATAGATAAAGAATACATTTATCTATGGGTATAGTATCATAGCATAACAAACAAAATTAACGTAATGGCTCACTAGATGATCTCGCCGGATCAAATATCTCATTATCAAAATAATGATAGTTATTGAGAAAATTATGAAAACAAATATAAATACTCACAAAAAATAGTGTGGGACGTTACTTAAATTATCAGCAGGAAGCGTGTTCGAGTTTTCGTCTCTTAATTCACAGTTATAAGAAGTACTTAATAATTCCAAATATGATAGATATAATCCAAGATAATGTGTATTAGGAAACTAATAAGTATGATCAGAATTAAATGAAATATTCAAATATTTCAGTCTTCTTGAAACAGCTCGATTAAAAACCTATCAGTTACCCACTATTTGCCTTCATTTCAACTGATGTTACCGACTGAATTAAGTTCCATTTGATGGAAATGATGCAATATATTAACTGCACAAACTTCTATGTACAAACTTATACAAGGGATTAAAAAGGTAAAAGCTCACGTTATTATGAGTGTGAACTTAATACAACCATTAAGGATGAAACGAAGACGACTAGACATCTTATCTGTAATCAGTAATGTAAGATAAATCTCACTGTCTTGTAAAAAAACAACCTGATGGACAATTCCACTGACCAAATACTATTTACATAACTTTAAGATAAGAAATCCCTATCGTGAGTACGCACTGCTATGGAGTTCCAGCTAGAACAAAACAACTATACAGTGCTTCTTGATTTTCAAATGTTGTTTAACTTAGGTTGGTCCGTGATTTTACTAACAAATGGTTGGAATGAACGTTACCGATTGGAAACAACAGCATATTAATGTTAAAACGATTTTAAGGAACAGTTGGTCAGTTAGCTAGTAAAACTAGTTATACAAGTATAAGAATCGAATATAAAAAATTAGCGAAATTATACAACAGGATTGGGTCATTCGGATTCACACTTTGCATATCCTAGAAGACATAGGAAATCATATCAACAAACCTAACCTGTTCGTGCACCAGAGGTTTGTGAAGGTTTTACTCTGGATGTCTGCTTAGTCAAACGGTATTTTTCTTAGATAAACCCTAATTTGCTTATTCTTATACTGATGATGTTATTTTTTTACCAGCCCACAAAATAATTAATTATTCAAATCGTCTTACTACAAACTCATTATTTGAATAAATAATGGTAAATTTAGTATATTGAACGGCCGTCCAGTGCTTCCAGGTTTTTCATGGTGGTCTAGCTTTAATCGACTCATGAATTCAACTATTAAATTACTACAATCTCCACAATCCCCCATTCCGATATTGAACGTGTATTATTTCTGTTACTTAGTATCCAAGAGATAAAAAGCACGTCATCCAACTTGGTAAAAAACGAACAAAGTAAATAATTATCACAAAGAAAAGAACAATAATTTAGTGTTGCGTTAATTGATGTAGCATAGTATATAATAATATATGAATTTAAATTAAAGTATCAAATCCATATTTAACGAAATATTTTACTTAAGGACTTACTACTTAGGTGCTCTCAGATCAAGAAATGTTTCTTTGACGTCTAGAATAATGTCAGACAGTCGCGTATCTGGAAGTATTACTTTGACCTATGGGATGAAAAAGAATCAAGACTTGAATGTAAATATGTAGTACTGGGTTAGTTGAAAATAAAAATGCATCTTAAATGATTTATAAACTATGATTAACAAGATTATAGTAACAAAAAATATATATAAGATTTAGATTCCTCTTCCACTCTATATGATGAAAATGGAGGAAAACAATGTCAAAGATATAGAAGATGAATGTCATCCATATAATGAAATGCAACAGCTACAACAAACACCAAAGTGGTCATTTGTTTCACCTTCATCTGTGCAGAAATCGGTTAACTTTTAAATATCATTGTATACTTTAGCTTATAGAAATACGTATGTTCAAATGTACACATTGATTTGAATTCGAAAATGGCAAAATATTATAGACAACACGAACAATACAACAGAGCTTTTATAACCCGAAAATCCAGGTCACTGAGAGATGAAGCCAACCGAATTGTGGGTGGACGTAGTGATAGCATAGTTTCTGGTGACGGTCTGTGTAGCACTTCCCTCTTTGTGACCAGGATACAAAAACACCTCTCTCGAATCTATCCTCTTCAGTTCAACTTGGGTCCAATCGGTTTCATTTATTCCGAGCACCTCTAAGTTGTATCTCCTCATTTCTGCAGCTATTTGATTGGTCCTTAAAGTCTCCCACACTGTCCGAACATTCCATGTACCTAGGTTAATTATTGCTCTGGTTGTTTGAGGGGGCATCGGCCTAGTGACTTCTGAAGAATCTCGGCTTTCACCATGAGATGTCATAACTCTTACTTCAACTTCCAGGGCAGAGTTTAAATGGTTTGAATTTGTTTATCCCGGTTAGAATTTTCTTAGAAAGGTTGTTTTCTACAAGATGGGGTTGCTGACCCTATGCCCAACCCTTCTCCTTTACCCAGTCTTGGGACCCACAGTAACCCTAGAAGAGCTACAGGCGGAGTTTTAGAGAATATAACATACACAAAATCACTCAGTTAGGCTAAGAATACCAGAAGGTTTACTATGAAAGTAAGTAAACAAATTTTGCAAGAAATCTCACTAAATTGAAACTAAAAAAATATGAAAAGATGGATCAGAAGAATCTGGCCTTATTGTAATGTAGAATATAACGTTGTTATTGCTGTGGGGTAGCAGTCCATCTACACACCATCTTTTTCCTATTCTCACTTAATACCAACTATTAACTTCAACTAGACTTGTTGGTCACAGAAAATTCCTGATACATGCGGTGAGTGAAGAGCAATGGTAAATGATGAACTGTTTTACATCCTTCGATCTTCCTTAACATTGGTAATAAAAAGAAATGTCTGAGCAAATCAATTTCGCTACTTCCACTTCATACTTTGCAAGTGAAATATCGTTGCTTAATTCTTTATATATTTCTGGGCAAACCAATCAGTTTTCATAACTGGTTTTATGGTCTATAATGACATAACAATGAACGATACCTGGCCAATACATGTTTGTGATATAGCTATTCTTAGAGCTCTGAGTTAAATCAACTGTATACTTTCCCTTGTGAACGCAGATCCATTCATTCTTTGTGTTGCTTTAACTCTTGGTTTTAGTATTCAGTACCTCTAAGTATTAGATTTCAGTCATTCTTTTATTAAATTTCTCGCTACTACTGTAATGAACAGAACCCGAGTAAGGACGCGTGACCATCTTCCATTGTACTGAGGTACATACCTGTCTCTATCCGACACGGATTAGCTCCTCTGATGACGGCTTCTCACTAGAACTCCGAGAATTCCCTCACGAAGCTAGTCATTTGTGAGCATATGGTCATTATCAGTATAGGGTTATGGAGATTATTAACTTTTTGATTGAGATGATGAACCGATTTCTATTTTCCTATTTGTCGCTTAATTTTAAAATTGAAACATTTTCCTTAAATACAAATGAATGCAGTTTCTTTATAAAAATATTTTACGCATAAATTATGAGAATTTTAATTTCAACTAGAAGTTTGATTCTGCTTACAATCATGTATTCACAACAAGCTGTCGTTGGATTTTTTCTACCAAGTTGTAAATAGACATCTTCAGCTGTTACTGCTTGCTGATACACTATTTCATATCTGTATATGAAATGAACGAACACATAGAAAAGTGCTTTAGATGAATAATAGTCAAAATTTAAACGAATAGTTTAACAAAGATTAAGCACCGAGTATTTTGAGGGTATTATGGCCTTAAAAATGTGTATCTTCAGTAAATGAATTAAATTATTCTTAAAACATTAATTAATTTGATGAGAGATATTTTAATCACACCGGTTATAATGATCCGAATGTATGTTTCTTCATAACTATTTAAATAATTAAGCGAAGATGGATAGTGGCTAGCAGTGGAATCCAGGACGCGCGTTTAGTCCTATTTAGGACTCGTCAGCTCGATGTACCTGCATCCCAGAGTTGATGTTCACTCCAGGACAACAAAAGACTGACCAATTGCAGTCGTAAATAACAGTTGGAAGATACAACTAAAATAAAATCAAGTGTACTTAAATAATTGAACATACAATAACATTCATCTTATTTATTTTAATTTGTTTGATATGTGGGGATAGTTAACATAGACTTATTTGGTAATTAGTTATTTTTATTATTCTCATTTTCTACCGGGGGAGGGACTTTGTAGGAGCTGGCACCATGTCAAGCCCATATAGGTTATTTTAGCTTCTGAACAAACCAATTCATTCTCCTCAGGCCAAATTTTGACCTTGTCACTCATTCGCTTATTAAGTTGATTACTTTTTATATGATCGTATGTGTGTTAATTGCTTGCTCTATTGTTTACGTGTCTGTAATTTATTTTTGTCTGAATATAAATATTGGGTCACTCTTTATCAAATTAAGATGGTTCACTAGCTTTCTCCACCACACGTCACTGTGTTTTCCTTCGCCCTCTCTACTCCACTTCCTTCGCTTCGTTTCCCTGATTGTCTGTTCAGATCACTCGTATTTGACTTATTTCTATTCCGTTATTCTCCAACGTGAAATAAGTTGATAAGAATATACGAGGGTTGGCGGCATGTATATTTCTATAACAATCATTATACAACCTAAATGGAATCAGACACAGAGCTACTAAATATACCAGTTTGATGATTAACCGTTGAATAATAATGAATGTTATATTTTGTTGTTTTCGATAATGACTCAATATCAAGTTTATGTTTATATAGTGGTATACATAAATATCCAAGAGACCAAGAATTTTTATCGTAATGATAGGTTGAAGATGTTACTTAAACAACTGTACTAACATGCTGAATGGTAAGTTCAGGCGAAGATTCTACAGTTGAAATCCGTTTATTGGATATGCCATCAAATACTCAGTGAACATTTGCATTATAATAACTGTTAGTAGTGATTCTTAAGATAGTTGAAATTTTCATAAATTAGTAAAGTGGGAAAAGAAGACCGTAATCTAACATGAAAAAAATAGGATTTTTACCTACTTGGGCTGAGGGCGCGGATCATATATATCTTCATGCTGTGTACCTTCTGGTATTTCATCAATATCCCATATATCATCAGGATTCTTTTGTTTCACATTAGGTTTTTCTTTCTTGACTGATAAATTGGATAAAGATATGATTGAAAAAGTGTGAATTGAGACAAACCTTTAGAACGACACTTGGGACCAATATCGCCCGGTTTCATTTTAGACATTGGAGTTATTACCTGGCAAGGAAAGAAAATGTGTAGCATTTATTATCAACGTATATATTTATGGAGGGAAAGAGAAATATTTGAGGTAGTGTTTGATACTCATGGGACATAACTAACCACTTATTGAACTAGTTGACGGTAGAATTAATGAAGTCAGTAGTGAAACTTTTATTAGGTGTTTTTTCGGTCTACAAGTTACTTATTAGTTTCCTGACAACTAATGTAATACACTTATCACTGGGTCGCGCGAATGACACTTTGCCTAATAGTCAATAGTAATGATAAGATTAGACACAGGGTACCAGGTAAAATGGGTAGTCCAACTGACAAGGCTGTAAACCTTTGTTGGTTAAGGCAATTGAGATATGTGTTACATTCCCCCAACTATCATTTAGCCTGACATAGATCGCTGACTGGCAGAGGAGTAAGTTAGGAAAATACCATGATTAGGCCAAACAAAGATATAATGTCAGTCTATGATGTCCTATATTGTTGGTCTGGGCCAATTCAGGAGGTGGGAAATTACTAATAAGAGTTTTAATTTATAATAGAGTACATTGGGTGAAATGTGGGGGAGAGGTCGATCATGTCAAAGCAGGTGCATCCATTCAATGGCCATTTTTAAATCATGAGTCTTACCGACCGCAAATCTTCATTTTTTTATTCCCTTTATCCTGCATATCTGATGTTTAAATTTCCATCATAGCTGATAATATTTTCACTTCGCTTACCACTCATCGAGTTAGGTCATTTTTTCAATGTGCTGATGTAAGGTATTAAAACTTGGGTCAATACAAAGTCATATTCGGTCGATTGATCAACGGATCCAATCTCTTGCTGAATGAGACTGATGTACAGACTATTTCACTGTTTAGGTGCACAAAGGAGGACATGTACTTTAATATAGAGCTCACCAACAAGGCATCTGACCTAAATGTCGAATCCATAATTCAGTGAGGTAGAGGCCCACACTGTGTCTGGTGTATAAAGTAAGTTCATACACCATTGATCGGCCCAGGACATTGTAGTTTATATCAATTACTGACAGAAACATGGGCTTCAAAAGATTTCCACCAAAATCCTCTGTATGGACCAACCTATTCAATGTCCTCAGAGTTTATTTTATCTCTTTTAATCTATGCACATACCCACGCCAAGTAAAAACAGTGAGTGGTATTTTCTCAGAAGGGACTATAAACACGCGGTCGTATGACAGTAATTTCAAAGTGTGAAATTTCCTTCTAGTCAATACACTAAGGCGTTCGAAGGTGTGTGTAAACTAGCAACCGAGTACAAGTTACTTTACTCGGGGATTTGTGCCACATCTCCCGTGTAGGAACTTCTGAAACCGAAATGGAGCCGAGTTTGAATCTTCAACGCAATGGTTGAAACACAAGTGTTTTAAGCATCAAGTCACTACCCTACATCATCCTTTAAAATAAAGAAATAGTAGCGGTCTTTATTCTAATTTAATTGTTGCTTAATTATCAGGGTAAAAGTATGAACAACTAAACAGAGATAACCCTCAAGATCGAAAATTCTATTCACTTAACTAATGGAGGATACTAAACATGATTTGTATCTACCAAATGAGATCGTTTTCAGTTAAGACAAGTTGATATTTGCTTTAGTTAGTAGGACAATTTACTTCTGAATAAAGGAAGTAAACATGGGAATATGAGTACTCCAATAAGCATATATATTAGACTTGATTTGTTCATTGACAAAAAACTATTATCTGGTTATCCTTTCACACAGCCGAAGATAGGAGGTCGTTTAACCAAGTGAGTAAAATTCTCACCAATCTAAAACAGTTTAGATGGATCATTGCCACGTTATTAGTAAGTAGACTGAAAAAAAATAAGTCAGCCATCGGTTTTTATCGATTCAAATAAAACTACATGGTTACATTTTCAGTTATGAATTTAGATTACCACGAATAAAAGGACACATGAACAGAATAATTTTAGTATAACAGTCCAATTAATTTAAAAGATTAAAGGGGAAAAATTTATAACTCACGTCATCCTGATCACTATTATCTTCCAACTCGGGATCCCTAAGTAAATTTTGTAATGAACGTATATTTTCTCGTGTCCATACAGCTTCCATTTTGTCTCCTTCATTATCAACAAGTGTACAAGTGAGCTTATTATTAGTGAAAAATAATCAGTATGATAGTTATACCACAAGATAAACAAGGAAATTATTAGTTGTGTCACTTACGCAGGTGATTGACTTGTGCACGTTTGATGTAAGTTATAAACAAGATCGAAAGAACTTTTATATCAAAAGATAAAAAAGGCTAGATTACTGTAATATAATTCAATGAAGTAATTATAAATCCCAGTTGACTTGAATAACTTTTGTGCCTCAGAGAATGAGTTTGATACTTGTTTACTTTTGACCAAGATGAAAATGAAATTAAAGAAACACTAGACAGCTGGGAAAACAGCAGTACAAATGTTCAATACAACCTTCCTATGAGATACTAACAAACTCAACCAATTCAAGATAACTCTCAACAACATGTTCCAAGACTTACAGGATCTACTGAAAGAAGAAGAAACTTCTATGCAGGCCGACCGAGAAGGGGTCAAAAAAGCATTAACTTCAACGTGTCAGGAGGTGCTGGGCCGCAACAAGCATCATCATAAGGAATGGATCTCTATGGAAACCCTAAACATGATTCAAGAAACGAAGAACGAGAAGACAGCAATTAACAACAGCGGAACACGAGCAGAGAAAGCCAAGGCACAAGCTGAGTACACGGAAGCAAACAAGCAAGTGAAGAAGAGCATTAGAACCGACAAGCAGAAATACGTGGAAGAACTAGCAACGCCCGGGGAAAAGCTGCAAGAGAAGGAAATATGAAACAACTATATGATACAACGAAGAAACTAGCAGGGAAATATAGTAAACCAGAGAGACCGGCCAAAGACAAAGAAGTCAAGATAACCACTCATAATCAAAAACGGAGGGACAGATAAGTGGAACACTTCGAAGAACTCTTGAATAGACCATCCCCATCGAATCCACCGGACATCGAAGCATCACCTACAGACTTCATACAGCTGTCACTCCATCAACGACAGAAGGAATCAGGGTGACCACCAGACAAACCAAGAGTGGGAAAGCAGCAGGACCTGACAATATACCAGCTGAAGCTCTAAAGGCAGAAGTAGAAGTAGTTGCAAACGTGCTGCGCGTTCTACTCAGGAAGGTTCGGGAGGAATAACAAGTGCCGACAGACTGGGAAGAAGGATAACTCACCAAGATACCAAAGAAATGGAATCTGAGTAAATATGAGAACTACAGAGGCATCACACTACTGTCAATACCAGGGAAATTTTTCAACAGAGCGTTGCTGAACCGGATGAAAGATTCAGTATACGCCCAACTTCGAGATCAACAGGCTGGATCCCATAAGGATCGATCGTGCACAGACCGAGCCGCGTCACTACAGCTCATCGTTGGACAATCAGTAGAGTGGAACTCGTCACTATATATCAACTTCATTGACTATGAGAAGACACTTGGCAGTGTGCATAGGAGGACCTTATGGAAACTTCTTCGACAGTGGTTTACCTGAGATCGTCAAAATCATCCGGAATTCACACGACGAACTACATTGCAAAGTGGTGCATGGAGGACAGCAGACAGACGCATTTCATGTGAGGACCGATGCAAGACAAGGCTGCTTATTCTCTCCCTTTCTTTTTCTTCTGGTGGTCGACTGGATTATGAAGACCTCGATATCTGAGGGAAAGCACAGAATACAATGGATAACTCTGAATCAACCAAACGATTCGGGCTTCGTAGATGACCTGGCCTTCCTATCCTTTACACACAAACAAATACAGATGAAGTCATTTAGTGTAACAGCAGCTTCTGCATCAGTAGGCCTCAAGATACACAAGTGAAAAAATGAGAACTTTAAATAGAACACGAAGAACACCAACCCAGTCACACTTGATGGAGAAACTCTGAAAGATAAGGAATATTTCATGTACCTGGGAAACATCATCGATAAACAAGAAAGACCTGATGCAGATGTAAAGTCGAGGATTGGCAAAGCAAGGGCTGCATTCCTACAATTGAAGAACATATGGAACTCAAGACAACTGTCTGCCAACATCAAATTGAGAATCCTCAATACGAACTTCAAGGTAATTCTATTACAAGGAGTTCAAACTTGAAGAACTACTTCAATTGGCATCAAAAATGTACGGGTATATATAAATAGTTGTTTACGCAAGATGTTCAATCTCCGTTGATCGGATACTCTCATAAACAACCTACTATGGCAGAGAACAAATCAGCTTCCATCTAAAGAGGTAATTATGAATAGACGCTGGAGATGGATAGGACATATATTGCAGAGATTATCAAACTGTATCACGAGGCAAGCCATAACTTGGAATCAATTGGAGAGGAAAGAAGGAAGACCAAGAAATACACTGAGTTGGGAGTTGGAGGCAGACGTGAAAAAAATGAATAACAACTGTAACGGATTGCCCAAGACAGGGTTGGATGGAGAGTGCTGGTAGGAGGCCTATGTTCCTCCACGAGAAGTAACAGGCGTAAGTAAGTACTTACTTCCGTTACGCTGCATGGAGAATAGGCCACCAACCAGGATTCTTCAACCAACCCTGTCTTGGGCAATCCGTTACAGTTGTTATTCATTTTTTTCACGTCTGCCTCCAACTCCCAACTCAGTGTATTTCTTGGTCTTCCTTCTTTCCTCTCCAATTGATTCCAAGTTATGGCTTGCCTCGTGATACAGTTTGATAATCTCTGCAATATATGTCCTATCCATCTCCAGCGTCTATTCATAATTACCTCTTTAGATGGAAGCTGATTTGTTCTCTGCCATAGTAGGTTGTTTATGAGAGTATCCGATCAACGGAGATTGAACATCTTGCGTAAACAACTATTTATATATACCCGTACATTTTTGATGCCAATTGAAGTAGTTCTTCAAGTTTGAACTCCTTGTAATAGAATTACCTTGAAGTTCGTATTGAGGATTCTCAATTTGATGTTGGCAGACAGTTGTCTTGAGTTCCATATGTTCTTCAATTGTAGGAATGCAGCCCTTGCTTTGCCAGTCCTCGACTTTACATCTGCATCAGGTCTTTCTTGTTTATCGATGCTGTGTTTTGATGAGTTTGATACCTTAGAAATTGATTATTTTTCAAGTGTTCATTTGATTTTGAAGTGCTCAGAATTTCTAAGTTTTACTAGGAGTGATATAAGAGATCATTGACTGAGTAAAGACTACTATAAAGGATTCGTAGACTGGGACACCTTTCACATATTATTTCAGATGCTGAAATATTAAACATTATTTTTCAATACAGATACTAATCATCGTTAATAAGATTGCAATCGTTTCATAAAGATGTGAACCTTACAGTGTTCAGTCAATTACCAAAAGAGTTCCTCACATTTTAGTTGACCTTTTATACAATATTCATAACATAACCCTTCAATTTATTCATATTACTTTTAAAACAAATACTCAAATTCCTCAATGGAGCAGTTGACTAATTCCTCTTTATACAAACAAAATTCAAACATAATAAAGTATCAACAAAAATAAAACAATGAATTCTGATACGATTATTTTATTCAACATAAAACTGTCATACTAAATATTTCTGCCTTCTCTAGTTGTAAAAGTTGTGACAAATATCCAATATTCAACCCAGTTCTGATGGTTTTAGCAATTCATTAAAGAGGTTACTTCAATGTACTATTTGGTGTTATTGATTCGTTCTGACTCCATAAGTTTAGCCGTTTAGCTGACAAAGCATTATTAACATCAAACTGTAATTGATTTTTCGTCAATTCTTGTGGAATTAGTTCCATACGAAGCGTCGTACGATCTACTATGCCACACGCAACCAATGTTGCAGAAAGATCAACTAACATTTGGTGATTGCATAGTTCATTGGGATTTTCAATAGTGTTTAGTAAAGACATAGCTACAAGACGATAATTTCTGTTGGTTTTTGATAATGTTTTCGATCTAGCATGATCTAACGTTGCATATAACTCTCCTATTGTATCTTCTGGATGCATTTCAACATTGTAAATTTGCAAACCATTTTCCGAATAAATCCTTAATGTTATAAGTTCTGATTTTAATTGATTCTTGTCTATTGTGTTATTTTTAAATATGTAATCAGTTTTAATTATTCTAGTTGACGGAACATTAATTTGTTCACCAAATTCACTTTTTATGTCTTTTCTAACATTTGACAGCTGACCAGATTTTGTTAATTTATACTCCGGTAAACGTTTTAGCAATTCATCAAAAGTTAAAGATTTATTTCGCCCATTAGTACTTAATGTGTTTGAAATTAGTTTATTGGATGAGGCATTACATTCTGCTTTCATTTGATTTTCAATTCTAAAATGGAACGTATAAATTATATAGAAAATGAGTTAAAAAACAGTTTAATTTGCAGATATGTAGTATATATATTCGTGGTTATGACCCATTTAACTTAAGATCTCAAACAGTATTATGTTTAAATTCATTCGGTATTGTTTGCTTGAATCTTCCCATTGATGTTTAGGACGTCAGTTGATCAGTCTCTTATGTGCATATGTGCATCCTGTGAGGATTGCCTAGACGTTGACCTAATTCACAAGCAATATTAGCAAATATAGTTGGTGGCTAACAGTTGGAATCTAGGACGCTCGTAAAAATCAACTCCGGGATGCAGGTAGGCCCAGCTGACGAGTCCTAAGTAGGACAAAACGCGGGTCCTGGATTCCACTGCTAGCCGCAACCCATCTCTCCTTATAGTATTATGGTTGTGTCAAAAAGACAACCAGAAAGTTTACATTTTTTACACGACTCAGTTCAGTATTTAAAGATGATTGCAATGTTTTGATCTGTTAGTCTATAGTCTATCTTCTCCTCCATTAACTATTAATAGTATGCTGAAGTACGTATTGTCTGAGAATGCGTCAAAAATATATTAGCCATTTCACTAGACAAAATTTCACGACATCAACAATCGAATTGTTTATTCAAAAAATGTCCGTTCATACAGTAGTATGTCTTATACACCTTAGGTTACTTTATTTATGACTGTTATTAGTTGTAAATAAATCATGTACTGGGATCTGGATATTTTGGTTTCCAAAAAAGACTATGAATAAATTCGGCTACTGGGTTACTTTTAGTAGCACTTCTACCGTCTTGAGACGAGAATTTTCTGAACACTTTGATGTACATCGTTTTCTGCTTAAATGGAGATGTACTCAGTAATTAAAAAAATGTTGTACATCAGCTAGTTCGGGTGTCAGTTGAATTCAGTCCAGTTAAACAAATAGTATCCCCAGCTGTCACACACTAAATACGGCTTTAATACTAACAAACAAACTTATGATTGACTGCCGAACTGTTATTTATTAAGCTTCAAATGATGTTATATTAGACACCGGAAGAAAATGTTACTTGAAAGATCAGTCTTATTGTAGTGATAAATTCGTGCTTACGGTTTCTTCACAATATTTTCCAAGTTAAAATCTTTGACCAAAAGCATGTCTGAATGTACTCTCTTTGTGGTTTTTAGTTTTTAGTAGTGAGTCAGTTTACTAGAAATTATGAACATTAATCAGGCCATTCGGAGAAAACAATTCCAACACTCAGAAATATCAAGTCATCTTTAATTATTTCTTACTGTTCAATACTGAATTCTTCGTTTTTATCATTGTTTGGTATGTGTTTCTCATTACTGAAGGAAACTTCCTGACCTACATCTTGTTCATTTGTTAAAGAACTCCCGAGTTTATAACCACAGGCTGAAAATGATGTTGGTTTTTTTAATAACATAAAATGAGTTGTGTGTTTATCGATTAGTTTGAATTGAACCCCATTTGGATAAGAAGATTGTAATTCTGATGGAAAGTAACCGTCCAGTATATCCTAAAAAATTAGAAGAACATGGTATACTTAGATTCAGAATGGAAACTATCATAATTTGAAGGAATTTCTCGTCATGAATTGATATTTCAGCTGGAGAGCCGTTGAAAACATAAGAGAATTAAACAGTTGTTTCTTCATCACCAAAGACTCTTCAGTACTTTCCATCCATGTCTTGGCGAAATCATCAAAATTATGACTCGATTTTTAAATTGTGACCTAGTTCTCTAAGGAAATCGTACGCAAAGATAGTGAGACCAACTCTGCGAAAAATTATAGAACGATACCGTTAAGGGTTACAAAGCGAGGATGAAACAGATGCCTAGTACACTACAGCTTTCAGTAATTCTCTATCTGATGGTAGTCTATAGGTGAGAACTATTTTTATTTCAGTCAATAATAAAACAGATGCTTTAAAACGTTATGAAAAACCAGTGGCTGGTTTTGGTTGTACCAAAGTTAATCAAAACAACTTGATTAACATGTCGTCATACTACTCCCTTCAACTTCCCCCTGTCAGAATAACATTTTGTTATTTGGTGTCTGCTTTCAAAATTATTCCTATCACTCACAGTTTTATTTTTTTAAACAATTATTGATAAGTGGTACAGAGTAGGGCTATGAAACACTCTAGCTTCAAGAGATTCAAACTAAATTCTTATATTCACTAGTAACATTAAAATTATTTACCAAATCTTAAGATCAGTTATGTATAAAAGAGTATAAATGATGAAACAACTTTATTGAGCATAAAAATAAGTTACCAAGTTAACAACCAACTTAATTGATTTATTGTTGAAGTTTATAGAGTTATAACTTTTTATATGCAAATTACTCAGGAATTTGGTTCAAAATGTTTTTATAAAAGAGAAGTTATTTTTTCTCGGAATTTTTTATTGTTATAGATTCCAGTTGTTTGAGAGTTTTAGACCATTTAATAAGGTAAGTCAGATAGTCTTCCATGAACGATTTACTTTTACTCAGATACAGTGATATCTGGAAAATTCCAAATCAAAAGTAAACAGGAACAATAGCTTATGATGTTGAAAGTGCAGTTAATCTGTATCATTTATTAAATTAATTCATAGAACTCTAATCGCTTTATTTCACTTGAACACCTTAATCTTACTGCTTTCTAAGGAGTAAAGTAATTTGTGATTTTATAGGATAAAGAGAATCAGAGATATTTACTATAAAAAGTTTCAAACTAGTAACGGTCATCTATCTATGGTGGGATAAAAAGGCAAAATGACATTTTTAACTTGTGACTCTTGCCGAACATTACTCCTATTTTTAATTCAGCATGGGGACCATTCAGCATAATGTTTTTTTATGCTTTTAGTGTGCTATTTTATTCAGCATAACGTTGATTTACTTTAGTGTAATGTTTATTCAAGAAAGATAATACCGTATGTTATGACCTTGGATGTCTGGACTTTTCGATCACACGATTTATCTACCAATCCGGATACGACTTATACGAATCTTCACACTAGGCCAACCAATGACGTTCAACCGGTGTGGGCAGTCTAGCGTCCTTATTGGTCCTATGTCCTACGAGCCCTTCCACTTGAGTCCAGAACAAGATACCAGCTTCCGAATCAGAGCAGATCGTTTATTTCAGGCATACTTGGTTTATATATCAATCATACAGACCGCAACGTACCATAAAATAGGAAATAATATTTGTACACAAATAAGCCCAAAAAGTGGCTGTGAATGAGGGAGGCAGTAGTTAATAAACTGAACATAACTTAAGAACCGTAAATCGTACAATAATAAATTATAGGCCAAAATAAAGCTTGTCATAAGAGGGATACAAATATACATAATGTAACTGTTGAATAGTTATGCAATAAGAATATTAGTCCATGAATAGTCCTCGGAAGTTACCTGTAATTTGATCTCCACTCGGATATAACACCTCCCCCCTTTTTTTTTAAGATTCCAAGTTTAGATTCTGATTTTTTTTTAAAAAAAAAGATTATGTGTAACTTTCAATTCTCCAACATTCTCCTCCTCCTCGAAATAATGTTGGGTCCTTATGTCTCCAAATTACAACTACTAGGACTTTGTCTAAACCATGTTTCTCGTATTGAATGGAGAATCCACTAAAAATGGCTAGATGATGATGAACGACCTTCGACTTGAGGTCATTACTTCCAAATTCATTATGAATCTCGTTAGCAGATAATGAGTCGTTAAGAAAGTCAACGCCTAACAGAATTAAATTAGATTTTTGACCATCATTTGAAACAGCCGACATATTTTCTTCATTTTTATAAGAAATCCCATCAAAATTCTGTGCATTATTATAAGAACCCATATCTAGTACATTATCATGAGAAATTAGATAATCCAGTTCAATATAAATTTTTGTCTCCCAATTATCTTGAGTAACATTTGGTACAGTTGGGTTCATCGTGTTGCTCCAGTTATTTTCTGAATATGAGTCCCCACAGCTTTCTCGACAAAAATCACGTGGACCACAATTTTGTTCGACTTGACGTTTATTTTCGCAGCTAGACAGTACCAGTAGTGTTTCATTTGATTCTGGACTCTGGGCATCATCTACAGGATCTGGCTCCTGATCATCTGGTATTGTCACAACTTCATGTGCATTTAGCACAATATTTTCTTGCTCTGAGCTGGACACGTTACCAATATTACGTTTTCCTTCTGGTATAGAGGGATTTGAATGCTGCACAGAATATGCTTCTGAAATGTCCATTACTGCACCATTATCTGCATCATCAATAGATTCCTTATTTTCTGCTTGAATGCAAAGTCTGCCCAAAACTGTTACAAATAGCTGTTGTTGCAAGGCCAACATCTGCTGGTGCTGTAATATTAACCGCAACTCTTCGAAAGAAATCGACATTTTTTTGCCAATAATATTAGCTCCAAAAATCACCGGCAATTATACAGCTAATTTATTTCCAAAATCTGAGTCACCACTTGTATTATTATTATTTCTTTGTTGCCAAAATCCCCGTCGCCAATTGTTATGACCTTGCGTCTCCCAATTATTTTGTTTTTGCCAAAATCCCCGTCGCCAATTGTTATGACCTTCGATGTCTGGACTTTTCGATCACACGATTTATCTACCAATCCGGATACGACTTATACGAATCTTCACACTAGGCCAACCAATGACGTTCAACCGGTGTGGGCAGTCTAGCGTCCTTATTGGTCCTATGTCCTACGAGCCCTTCCACTTGAGTCCAGAACAAGATACCAGCTTCCGAATCAGAGCAGATCGTTTATTTCAGGCATACTTGGTTTATATATCAATCATACAGACCGCAACGTACCATAAAATAGGAAATAATATTTGTACACAAATAAGCCCAAAAAGTGGCTGTGAATGTGGGAGGCAGTAGTTAATAAACTGAACATAACTTAAGAACCGTAAATCGTACAATAATAAATTATAGGCCAAAATAAAGCTTGTCATAAGAGGGATACAAATATACATAATGTAATTGTTGAATAGTTATGCAATAAGAATATTAGTCCATGAATAGTCCTCGGAAGTTACCTGTAATTTGATCTCCACTCGGATATAACACCGTATTAAATTAATGTAATCTATGTTCAGTATAGCATGCAACGTGCACTCTTGCTATAATTTCGTATATGTGACTTCTTACTAATTAATAGTAAAATGTGTTTACAAATCATTATATAAATGAGTGCATTCTGAACTAGAGTCGTTGTCATGTTCTTGGGGTTAATAAAACTTCACTTGCACCACTCTTTGTGTTCTTACTTTACGTTGTGGGAATTGTAGTGGTTCCTCGTTTCAAGTACGTCTAATAAACAACGTGGATGTAACCCTGAGACGAGTCGTAGTTTTTTTACTCTTTATTATTTCTTAGTGAAACTTTGTCTGTTCCTATTAATCACGTCTAAATATGTTATTAGATAAAATAATTCTAGAGTCCTAAGTGTAGCATCATCGGCTGCCTTGTAATCCTCAGTTTAACGTTGATTGTTTAGCATTTATTTGACAAGTAACGTACCGTTATACTATTTCGGGCAAATAATTTGTGTATATATAACAGATTTAACTCTCTGATAAAAATAGTTTTAGTATGCTTACTAGTAGTTCTATCCTTTGAGATCTGGTCGGCTATAATTATCGAATCATACATTACCAAATCATCAGTTTGGTTATCTTATTCTGTCTATCATTTTACCAGTTAGTTGTGTCATTATAATTTACAGTAATCAACGTTTAGCATGAAATAATTTTACTCAAAAGTGACAAAGTAGGATTACTTGGACGAATTGTAGCGTATCATGATTTTTATAAGGACGAAATGGTCCAGAATTAAAGCATAATCCATCTGCATATAGAGTTAGTGGAATCGGTGATTGATTTTGTAGGCAAACTATATTAGATGAATTGGATTCTGAAATAAATTTTTTCTCATTGTGCGCGTCGTTGTTCCAATCATTTAATAAATAAATCTGTTGAACTAAGCGACTGAAGGTTGTTTCGTTGAATTCTTATTATTGATAAACAAATAGCAATATTATTGTCATTAGATTTATAAACAAAGCCTACTTAGACCAGTTTCATTTCTTGTACTGATTACATGACCAGTTGATTGTCTTCCTATCCACATGAGACCATGGTCATGAAAAAATTCCTTCATTTCAAGAATCTATGAATTGAAATAATATATGTATTTATTCATTTCATTGCCTACTTGTCCTTGTAACTCTTCGCAATATTTCTGCAGTCTTTCTATAGTTTTCTGATCGGTTTCTTCAATATTATTTTTTCTCTCGTCAGCACGGAGTATTTTGAGTTTACTTTCCAGTAGTTCAATTTGTAAAGTTTGTCTTTCAATCACTGATTTCTATAAAAAATATTGTGACAGATTTCCAAATTATGAATAAAATCACATGTATGCCGAATGAAATATTGAGATGCAGGTTCTCACAAAAGGTTTCCCCCTAAAGTCCTCCAATTATATCATCTAGGGTTTACTCACTTCAGCATTTCTAGACACTTCTTGGAGCCCCAAGAAATAAGAGTGAAAACATTGCGACTATATACATGTATATTATTCTGGCACCTGATTTGTCCAACATAAGACCATTTAGATGAAATGAGCAATATAAATAACTAAACAGAATCACAGGCACACAAAATTTCTCGTTTATTTGCTGTCGGTTGGTAAAAATTCGTTACATCAAAAAACATTGAATTCCTTGAACTGATACCTTAATGAAACTAAGGAAACCGTAAAACGTTTGACTATTACTTAGGATGTTCACAGCCTTTTAATTCAAACGAAATATCAATTTTTACTCTAATATTTAGTATTTATATGCAAATATGTGAGAAGTAAACCAATCACGAACAAATAACAACAAAGACGTGGGTCACGCAACTATTCATAACAAATAAGAACCAATCATGATAAAAATACGCAAATCGCATTGTAGCTGTGACAGAAACTTGGTTAGTCCAGAACTTCGACATTACTCTAGAATTATCTGGATACCACTACCTGAGAAGTGATAGGAAAGAAGATGAAGGAAAAAAAGTGGTGTCCTTTTATACATAACTAATAATACAAATGTCCGCTCCTCTGCCAGCGAATCCCATGACAGTGGAACTTGTGAAGTCACTAGCTGTGAGCTGACTATCGGGTGCGGTAACTTTATACTTGGTGTCATCTATCACAGCCCAATCTGCTTAGCTGATGATTTTATTTTAAAGCATATTTGGCTATGGAGTGCAAAAAACAGATGCTTGATATTAGGAGACTTTAATTCACCTGATATTAGTTGGACTGAGATGACCACGGAAGGATCAATAAACTCCTTTGATAGTAGGTTCCTGGTAACAATAATGGATCATGTATGCAAACCCACACGTTTTGGTGCCAACCAACGTTCTTCTCTGTTAGACTTGGTAGTCACTCATGAGACTGAGAATATTGTCGATCTAAATATTCTTCCACCGTTAATGAACAGCGATCACGCTGTTTTGTAATTCACGTTTAGAACAAGGGACATGATATACGATCAAGTTACACCCCGCCCAAATGTATGGAAAGCCATTCAGGAGTGCCCTGCTGAGACAAATTGGTCAGTAGATACTAGCTTATCAGTTAGAGAAGCATGGTCCATATCTTAAGGCAAGTTTAGTTCAATTACATTCTTGTTTATACCATGCCCGGTTCCACGTAGAACGAACGACTGTCCACCATGAATAACTAAACAAGTCAAGAAACTACTTAGAAGAAGGTAAAAGCAATGGAATATGTTCATCTCTACTAGCTTAGAACAGTACAGATCCAGTCATCATAAGACTAGCAATACTTGTAAAGCATTAATAAGTGAGACTAGACGATCATATGAAAAACAGTTTGGTTGAGATTGTAGATATAGTCCGAAACGATTATTCTCGTATATAAAAAGGCAAACTCAGACAAGCGATGGAGTTCCATCACTTCTGATAAAAGGAAATTAGTTACTCTTGGCAAGAAACGATACCAAAAAAGCCAAGGCTTTATCGGAATATTTCATTAAAGTGTTTTCTATCGGTAGTGAAGGACGACCAACGATTCATTGTGATTGTAGTGGCTCGTTGACAGACCCTGTAGTCATTGAGAAAGGTACTGTCTTAAGGCTACTTCAGCATCTGAAACCTGATAAGTCCAGTGGTCCTGATGATATTCATCCTAGGATTATGAAAGCCATATCAGATGTAATGTCTCTGGGGCAATTCAGAATCCCCAGAGACTGGGAAGACGCGATAATAGGTCCGGTGTATAAGGCTGGAAGTAGGGATTTAGTTCACAATCATAGACCCGTTAGCTTAACTAGTGCAGTTGTAAAACTGATGGAAAAAGTTATTCGGATATCTGTTGTAAACAATGTTGAAGGGCATAATCTTTTACCCAGGGAACAACATGGTTTTTGGAGAGGCCTATCATGTTTGGCAAATCTCATTGCAAGAGAAGACTGGGCTGCGGCAAAAGACCGATATATTCCTGTAGATGTGATTTTCATAGATCTAAGTAAAGCCTTTGATAAGGTCTCACATTCTGGTCTTAAATTAAAACTGCAAAGTTTTGGAATTCATTAAACAGTCAATAAAAAACCAATAACTATAAATCTTAACTTCAAAGGTGATGATGTTGCAAACACAATCAACAGGAGACTGAAAACTGCGCTAGCCAGAACTTATCCGGAGGCCAAACTTCTAATTCTGTATAAAACAACATGTTCAGTAACTCAATCAAAGGTTGACAAGCATCCCTTTCATGTTACCGACAACTGTATTTATAAATTTATGTGTACCTGCCAAAGCAGTTACATTAGCCAAACAGAAAGGAGGACATATCTTAGATTTTTTGAACATGTTCCAAAAAGCCTCTGAACAAGAAAAAAAAGACTCTAAACAGTGCAATCCTCAAACATCTCCTTGATATAGGATGTCAAGTCGATACCCTGCAATAATTCAGGGTGATCAGTAAGCAACCAAACTCTAGTATTCTAAAGTTTGCTGAAGCCGTGGCTATCAGACGCCAAAAAACTGATTTATGTGTCCAAAAGGAGATGTTTAATAATCTTTTCTTGCCTTGGTGACTAATATTCCTTCGCTGTATCTTAATATATATTTTTTCCTTTAAATTTTTTCTTGCATTTATTACATCATCGAGTTTTATTTCAACTACCTTTCAAATTAATAATCTTATTTTATCAGCTGAACTCTGCTCATTTTACTCCTATCAATGTTTACTCATTATATAATTACTTTTTTCTAGCTGTTTAAACTGTTGTCACAATCAGTGTTGTAAAATGCTCTTTTACACAAAGTATATATTTGCAATATTCAGTCTATCAAATTTATTTACACTCTTGCTATACTATACTAATATGTCTTCAATATAACTTCCAAGCAAACCCTCTCATGTAAGTAATTTAAACACAATATGTAATTATGATTATAAATATCACAGGTCGTAGGCAGCTGACAAGAGCCAACGAAATAAAATTAATTCACGCTATTCTGCTAGAATGTTTGTTCTTGCTCTTTTCGAAACAACAAAGGAAACTATGTGTATGAAACAGTCATAGATTGGAGGAGTGATTTTCTCCATGACAGGAAGCAAAGGGCAAAGAAAAATGGAGCTCTCTTCTCGTGGGAACCTGTAAAACGTGGAGTTACACTCGGTTCTCTTCTCTTTTTACTTTATGTAAATGAATTACCGACTGTAACAAAGTCATCTGTTCTACTCTTCGCCGATGACATAAAGATTTAGATACCCATACACAGTATGTCAGATAAAGTAGTATTACATGGTGATCTAAGATCATTGGTGGCATGGATGGACAGGTGGTCATTAGAAGTAAATTCTAACAACAGCATGGTGACGCAATTAAATAACTATGATGATTCGTATCACCACACGATATGTGGATTCGTGCTACCCAAATTAAGAGAATATAAAGTTTCAGAAGTCAGACTAAGCAGTGATTTCAAAACCACTAGTCACTGTAAGGCTGAGGCTGCAAAAGGTTATAGGGTATTATGGTCTATTCGTAGGTCTTTCCAGTACTTGGATGATGAAATGGTTAGATTACTATACCCGACTTTCATGCAACCACATTTAGAATATAGGATTCAAGCAGCAAGTCCTTGTTTCAAGTATGATGCAGATATGCTGGAAAGAGTCCAACGACGAGGGACTAAGATGGCAAAAGGTCTATCTGGCCTGTCGTATGAAAACAGACTGAGACACCCCAAAATATTTCTTTTATCTTGCCGTAGGGTACGGGGTGATCTGATATTGGCTTATCGTATACTGAACGATGACTTTGGTATTAATATGTCTTATCTTTTCCTTCCGTCTAGGACTGATCATTTGAGAGAACATTCGAAGAAAGTTCAGAAACCGAGGTCAGATCGTCTACGCCTAGAGTTTCATTTTTTGCACCGAGTAGCGAGTTACTAGAATTTTCTACCAAAACACTTGATATCAGAACCTTTTGTTGATATATTTAAAACGATATTGGAACTGCACAGAGTCACAAACTGCAAGGATTAATATAGGTCGATAGACCTATCCTTAATACTGAGGACTGAAGTAACTGTGGGGTGACAAGTATGGAGAATGGCCAATAATCATAATGATACACTGAATAAATACGTGGAGTAGGAAGTAGGATTGTGAAAATTGGCGTATATTATGGGCATCTGCAGAGGTCAGAGATTTGATGTTTTAAAATTCAGATCTTAATTGTTTCGTAGGGTGTATAAATAAACTGTTGTCGATTGTCACATCAGCTCTTCATATGGTGGTAGATGATTTTAAAGTATGAAAAACCTCGCACATTAATGTTGTAATATCAGTAATTCAGGTCAACTCGGACGACCTAGCTGAGTAGTCTGACTGACAAAAGTTCGAAACAAGATGTGATAAAAGTTGTGATGATTGAAATAGGTAAAAAAAGCTCAAGTGTTTGAAAATTTCTCGTAATAACCAAATATACTGTTGACAAAAATAAGGTAACATTAACTTAATATATGTACGTAAATTCTTGAGACCTACATACTCGGTATTTTCTTTTAACAAAGCCTCATTCTTTTTCAGAAGTGAGGACAGTAGTGTTGGATCGTTAGTTAAAGTAGGCCTTCGTTGACTTAGCACAGTTTTAAAATTTAATTCGCTTTCATCGTTCTCCATTTTCTTTAGACCATTGATGAATTTTCGAACAGATATTTCTGAAGTGATTTCATCACAAAGATTATCTGCAGAATATGATAAACCACAAGATGGGGATCCATTAGATGTGCTTGGACAGGATAATATGACTTTTCCTTCAGTGTGTTTTAAATCTCGAAACTTTGGTTCACGCTCGCAACCTTGACGCGTCATTGTCATGACTACGTTTGTATAATTTGAAGAGAAAAAGTGGTACGAATAATGTGGTAGTTAATTCATTAATGAACTTACTTCTGACCTGTAAACTTTTAATCCTAGAATAGTTATATCGAATCACATAAGATTATCCAGTCAGGACTAGCACAAGCCATCTAGCCTCCCGTCCCTTCCAAATTGAAACTGGTTCTTGACATGAACGTGATGTTTATGACAAATTAGCAGATATTGACGTGTCTACCCTACTCTTTACTTTCAGTAGTAAGCATTATGAACAGTTAGTCTACCTAGTCTGACGACCAACAGGTTCAGTAACCTGATCATGCAGCATTTTATATCACAACCATATACAACCTACCTTTCTTTGTGCAAGTATGGCTATCAAATATGGAATAAACAGAGGATTTGTTTCGACGAGACATTTGTAATTTTAAGTGGTCTGCTACTAGTGTAATGTGAGAAAAAACTAAACATGAACGCGACGAAAGTATGTTGTGGAGATATGACTGACAAGTTTATTTTGTAAATAGTTTTTAATATTATTTATATTTATTTTGTCAACCTTTCACTGTATGTATATTTAACAGTAAATGATTGCAATTGTTGTTTTAGCAAATTACCTTGAACATATTTTCCGTTGTGATTCTGACATAGCGTGACATACCGTTGCTGGCTAACAAATACACTTATGGTGACATATATTCATTGATTTTTGTTACAACAAAAATAAAAACCACATTTTTTCTCTAATTTGTCACACTTTAGTTGTAACCACATTTTTATTCAATATCTGTTGTTTTGCTGTATCATTTGTTAAAAAGACGATGATAATTGTTTTCGATGAATGACATACGATTCTACTACCGCGTTGTTTAAAATATAGAACACTATCTACGCCGTTTGTTCTTCTGTTTTATTGGCCACCGTTTTGATTGAAGACTATAATAGTATTATAACGTCATTATAGGCCTTCCGACGCAACGTTGGACTTTTGGCGCGGATTACCATTGTATAATACTATTGGACTCCGTCTTCCTCATTACGTCAACGGTGTAGTCACTTGCAGAGGAACACCTGTCAATCAAGTGAACTCAGTTTGTGGTCGTTGTTCTCACAAGGCAATTCACAAGTAACATTCATTCTATAGTAACTGTTAGTGTCTGTTTGTTTAATATACCTTTTGTATTGTTAACGGTATTTTGTTACCTTTGGGTTTTACTAACGGACAGACATCAAGGTTTCTTTACTATTAATTTTTTGGTATAAAACTATTAACCCAGTGTATCAATATATTTTGTGTAAGCTCTTTTTGTTTGGGAACCACCACACACTGCTTCTCACACATTCCTCGTTCTATTTTCATTCGTGATTGAGTTAACTGAGATCTAAAACAAATATTATTTACATACATAGACTGTGAGTGCGAATACACCATACCTTACTCTGGATTATACCACTGGAGAGTTCATCGACACGTCTGGAATTACCAAGCATCTATAATTGTGGATTTATTGCACCAGACTAAAGCTGAACACGTATCATTTTGTATGAACTTAAGTAAAGTCCCATTTTTATTGTATTTTTAACATTTAACTGGTATATATTAATATTACTATTGATTTTTATTAACTTTGTTGATACATTTTGCGTTTATATATCATCTGGTCCACCACAATGTACATTGATCTGCTACGTCCGCATTATACTGTACGGTTTAATATCACTACACAACGTGATTTTTCCTACTTTTAAGCCTAAACCTGGACTGGAAACGACTATGGAGTCATTTTTAACTTTCTAATAACTTCATTTTTTCCATAGAAAATTTTGACCTTTCGTGCATGTACTTCTTGTATCTTTATAATTCTGCACCTATATGTCACATATGCTTGTGTATGCCTGTTCATTTGTTATTTAAAAGCAAAAAAACACCACACCACCTAAGTAATAATGGCCTTGGTACTATCATATTGTTAACTGGAAGAGTGCAAATATCTAGTCTACTTAGTATTACGTTGAGCTTACCTCGTTCAGTGACTAGCCAGAACTCACGAATTTGATGGACAAGACATTTTTCTTCACAAATGCTTTCAAAAGAGTACTCATGATTATTTCAAGCGCTTATGTTTGAACGGCAATGTGACAACTAAGCAATAAGTGGAACAACTAACTAAGCCATCATTATATAGATTCTAATCAATGAACTAGTGAATTTCGACTATCTATGGTTTAACGTGATGAGTTCCAAAAAAACACTTGATGGTCATTCATCTCCTGTAATAAGACCACGTGGTGGACATTTAAGACGTACCGGTGTTTTTTTATTCCAGCATCTCGAGGAAATTTATTTCACAAGTCTATGGTGAGATGAGATCTCTTAAGTACTATAAGTGGGTTAGAATTTAAGACAATAATATCAAGACATTTTATGTGAAAATTATATTTGAAATAATCTCAGCGATTGAAATTTTAAAAAATTTCAACGTTTCGTTCAACTAACTTGTCTGGACTTTTATCGAAAAGTCTGACAACGCTTAATAAACTTAGGGCTAAAACCAGTAAAATCTTACAGTCGTTAAAGGTTAAACTAGGATTGCCGCTATGGTTCGTGTTATATCCAAAGAGTTGTAACCTTTGTAGATTCTGTAGACTTCCTAAGTATCACAAGTACGGTACTCCACAAAGACCAGTGGTTGACTTTGCGAATTCGCCGACATACAATCTAGCGAAATAATTAACGAAAATACTTAAGCCTTATGAAAAACTGATTAATCATGGAAATAAGGTCTCTATGGAATTCAAGAATATTATCGATACCATCGATAAAGAAGGGGATGAGCTATTGGTGTGTTTTGATGTATCTTCCTTGTTCACTTATGTACCTGTCAATAGAGCATTGGATATTATCTTTGATTGTTTAGGATCTGATTCAGATTTGAATTTATGTCGCCCATTAGATCCATTTCACGTTACCAAATGTTTGACACTATGTTTAGATCCACCTTATTCATATTTCGGGGAGACCCTTACAGACAAAATGAAATTATGGCAATCGGTTCACCAGTTCCTCCGACTGTAGCTTATTTATTCGTGCTTTCCCTAGAAACTAGTGCAATCGCGAGAAGTGTATGTCCACCAAAGGCCTGGTTACGGTATGTACATGATATTTGTATTATCACTAAACGTGATGGCCTAAAAGAATGTTTTAAAAATGTAAACAGCATATCGGAAAGCATAAAGTCAGCGAAGGAGGTAAAATTCGTTGACCACAAACTAGCGCTTCTCGATTGTTTGGTTGAACGAAGACATATTAATAGTCTGAAAATAAATGTATTCAGGAGATCAACACATTCTGAGAGATACTTGCATTGCGGTTCGGCTGATGCACACTGTACGGGAGTGGATGTTATAAAAAATGTAATGAACAGAAGTATTAAGCTCGTCACAGATAAGGAAGACCAACAAGTTGAATGGAATAGAGTATTATCTACACTCAGGGTTGACAATTACACGAAAGTTTTTAAAGATCATTAGAAATGAAAGAAAAATTAAACTAGAATGTATACAGAAAGATTGGAAGTCCACCGTGGTCATCCCATACCGTAGTGAAACATCGGAAGAAACCAAGCGGATTCTTAAGAAGCATGATATAAGAGTGTATTTTCGGGCGAATGACACCATAAGATCGGCATCAGCGAAGGTCAAGGATGGGTTCTTGAAGAAAGAACAACAAAATATTGTCTATGAGATCAACTGTCATGATTGTATTGCAACTTATATGGGAGAAACATCCAGGCAATTGAATGTAAGTTTGAAGGAACACAAACTGTTTGAAAAATGTTCTAAAATCCTCAGTTGACCTAAAGAAACTTGAGAATAAGTCTGCGATGGCGTTACGTGCGTCAGAAACAGAACACAAGATTGATTCTGAAGGGACCAGAATACTTCAGAAAGGTTTTAACACTCATAAAGAAAGATTGACAGCAGAAACGCTGTATATATGAGCAAATAAGAACAGCCTTAACCGAAAGGACGATATTCAACTAGCAACTACTTGGCAAATATTCGTTAGCAAGTAATTGAGCTTGTTCTTTATTCAACCTGCTTATTTCATATGTATCGGTAATATGACTGAAATCAATGTGAGCTATTTTTAGCAATACAATTATACATCTGATGATTCTCATTTGACATCGATGATTCAGAAACAATGTTTTCAACACTGAACTTGCACTTTTATTCATTTATTCATTCATATAAGACATTAACACAGAATATCAGTAATTAATAACTAAATCTTACACACACATACACACATATAATTTGTTTCAGTCAATTATATCCACGTGAAATTTCCACATGATTCTCATGTAACTAACTTATGTTATCCTATTTACTAAAATCAACATCCAAACACGGTCGGATTAAGCACAGCATAAATTTGATCTGATTTGATTGCTGAAAGTGTATATATATTCCTTTGATGAGTCTGATTATTACACTGAAGTACAGAAAACTTGGCCGGATTAAACGTTGGAATTTATTTACATTTCAATCGCTGAGATTAGTTTATATATAACTTTCATATAAACGTTTTTCGCTATACTCGGAGCCCAATTTCTGTCAAATTATTCGTTCTAATATTGACGAATATTCGTATAAATAATATCAAGACCCTGTAGAATTCTCATCTGCAGTAGAAATGAGGAAAAACATGACATGGATAGGAGGCGACGACCTGATTGTTTGATGCCAGCTCTAAATAAATATGAAAATACTATGTTTACAATGAAAAAAGAAAGCTTTTCAAGTTGGTCCTGTTAATTTCAGTCATCGTGTTCAAACGCATACTGTTAGAGTGGACGTCATGTTGAAATGTTTCAAACCACAAAATCTGATACCTTGCCTGCGAGGTGATCTGTGATCTGTGCCTGCGCAAAGATAGAGCATTTTTGATAATGAAAAGTTATTACTCTTTTTATACTTGTTCTGACACTGAAGTT